TAAGGCTTGACACGCACTCTATACCCTACCTTATTGCATTAAATGTTCATTTAATGCACTACGTATAAATAAAAGTGTTTTCTTCTCCATGCAAGAGAGCATGTACGCGCGCATCTCTCTGTTATCCTATTCTTACTTCAAGCATCTTCTAGCTTAAGTAAAGGATCTTTTTTTTCTAGCATTATCTTTTCTTGTATTTGCTAAAGATCTGTGTGTAACCAAAGGTTGTTTAGATAGGTTTTCTTTACCTTATCTTTCCGCAAACAATCTTGTAAAATCTGTATTGATATTCTCTATCAATATATATTTTAAATTTGAAAACTCTGTGTTTGTATTCATCCCCCCCCCCTTCTACAAACTGTGTCTTATCTTGTAGACCCTTTCGGGACCAACAGAGTACATGTGAAACAAACACATTGTGAAACATATATATGTCAATCAACATTCTAAGTTTTAGTCTTAGATGAAAAGGAATCATATGAAGTAGCACATAGTGCACAAGTGTTCAAGGTTATCACAATTTCATGGGTTCTCAAAAGAAGAATCCCTATATATATATATATATATATATATAGAGAGAGAGAGAGAGAGAGAGAGAGGTTCTGAGGAAAACTCTAGATAAATGAAAAACTAAAAAACAGCCTAACGTCTCGTAGATCAAAAAAATCAAAGGCTAATATGACAGTGGCATGGTTGTAAATATTCAAAAAAGAATGTAACTTCAAATAAAGGCGTACTGAGTTTTTTTGGAAGAAGAAAAAAACAACTCACTTCTCCTACATCTTAGCCACATTCATATCACATTTGATATCATTGCCTAACAAGTCAACAACATTCAAAATTAGAGTTTATCTACTCTATAACATATGGCAAAGAGGAGGAAGATGAATAATTCTTCCTCTTAGATGGGAATTGCAATGATGGTTTATCTTTGTCGGAGACTACCATGTACGGTGGCGGTTTTTGTACACTTGAATACACAAAAGAATTTCAAGTGTTCATCTTTTTTCTGGTTTTATGCACACGTGTAACACCCTAAAAAAAGGATAGTCTAAACCGAAAATATCTAATGAGAACCAGAATCTTAGACAAAAAAATTTTTCGCCCAACAAAAATAATAGTATAGCGTTTACAATTCCGCTACTGAGAAGATAAATAACAATCTACTAATCTAGATTTTTCTAGATTAAAGACGGGTATTTCTATCAATCTCCAAAATGCCGTAACATCAAAAACGCAACGTACAAAAGTAATAAGGCTATAATTACAAAAGAGTCCTTCACGAACCAACGCTCCTCTCAACCCTTTAGAGCCCCACCGATAAAAGCAACCTAAAAAGTAATTATAACAAGA